GACGAAGGCCCCCAAAACCCCGTCGCACCCGAGACCAAAAGTCATGCAGAAACCCCAAGAAGAGGGGGACATGACGGAAGAAGGTCCCGTCCCGGAAAAAAGGGGCGAAGATCGTAGAAAAGCACCCACCGACAGGACGGAAACAACAGGCACAACGGACAAGGAAACCGAGCCCAGGGAGGGGCCGACGCCCACAAAGCACGTGCGGAGAGGGAGAACGAAAAACCCCACACCACAAAACTGCAAGTCCCCCCCAGAGGGGTAGAAACACCCCGGCGGGGACCAACGGGGCCTGAGGCCCCTCACGTGAGCCCCACCCCAGCCCCGGGAACCCACCCTGCAGGCCCCGGGGCCGAGCTGTCCCCTCAAAGCCCCAGCGTCAAGAAAAACCCCGGGGCAGCCATGAAAAACACGAAGGAAGGGAGCCCACTAGGCTCTGGAACGTGAACCGAAACCGGAGGACAGGCGAGGGGCGAGACGAAGACCCCAAGCTCATCCTCAGCCAGCACAATGAGGCGAGGACAAGACAGTGAAACCAAGGAACATGGAAAAACCAGGCCCAGCACAGCAAGACCAGCAAGGAAGGAGAGCCCCAGAGGGAGCACGGAAATGCCAAACATAACGCCACAACCAACCCCGACATGCAGCAGCAGTACCAAAACCACAGCAAAACGTCACCACACTCCCCGAGGAAGCGACAGAGAAGATAGATAAATCGTACATGAGTGGCACACAAAGGGACACAGGCGGAAACCGAGCACCCAACTGAGCCACAGGGACGGTAGAAGAAACGTGTGCAGTGTAACAGGCAATCAAAGGAACACATTAGGTAGCCCAACATGGGCTGACCCCATACACCGCCCCAAGAGCAGAGATGAGAGTGCCCAAGAAGCACAGAATCCGCCCGACAGGCAAACGACAGGGAAGAGGCGGAAACAAAGAGCCAGAACCCAACCTGCAAGCACAAGGAGGCGAACACAAAACCTCCGACACAGGAAAACTTACTACCAAACAGGCACCCCCACCGTTGCACTGCGGAACAAGGTGGAGGCGGGGCCCCGAACTCAAGCAAGGTTACACAAGCATAGGAGAGGGGCAGGAGGAGTACAGGCAGGAACCGCCTCGGAAGGGACAAGAGGCCACCCGCAGACACCCGTGAACCGAGGAAGGAATCAGGTGGAGAGAACAAGAGCTGCCCAGTATGGGCTAATAGCCCTGCAGTAGGCACCTCGGGTGATACGGTCCACGTTCTCAAGTACGTATGTACACCCATTCCTACTCCCAAAAACAAAACAGCATCAGGACGAAGGAGACGCCAAAACCGCACCAACTCACCTGCAGAACATAGGCCCTGAAGGGCTATGACGCAAGCGTTTGAGTCCGTATCCGCCGGAGGCGGCCAGTGCACCCATGCTGGAGAGGAGGGGAGCAGCGAAGGAGGCTCCCCACCCTAGAACGCAGGGAAAAACCTTATGATTTCCCCACAGCGGCACCCCAGAACACCCCCAAAGCAACGGGGCACGGATTGGATTTAGAAAAGAGCGAGAGGCAAAGCCCCCCCCCCCCCCCCGAGAGAATTGGAAGCAGAACACGTGTGCACACCGCCCGGAACCAAAACAAACTCCCACGGCGCATGCGCAGGACGCGAAAGAAAGTAGCCCAACAAGGCGAGAAGCAGCCCAACCAGGCGCGAAGTAGCCCAACAAGGCGAGAAGGAGCCCAATAAAGCGAGAAGTAGCCCAACAAGGCGAGAAGTAGCCCAACCGGCTACAAGGAGCCCAAACGGCCACAAAGGAGCCCAAACGGCCAAAAAGGAGCCCAAACGGCCACAAAGGAGCCCAAACGGCCACAAAGGAGCCCAAACGGCCACAAAGGAGCCCAAACGGCCACAAAGGAGCCCAAACGGCCACAAAGGAGCCCAAACGGCCACAAAGGAGCCCAAACGACCACAAAGGAGCCCAAACGACCACAAAGGAGCCCAAACGGCCACAAAGGAGCCCAAACGGCAACAAAGGAGCCCAAACTGCTACAAGGAGCTCAAACTGCTACAAGGAGCCCAAACTGCTACAAGGAGCCCAAACGGCTACAAGGAGCCCAAACGGCTACAAGGAGCCCAACCTGTCCAGAACAGAAGGAACCAGTATGGAGGCAAACTCCGGGACACGCAGGAGGAAGCCGCAAAGGCCAACCGCACCGCAGGCGAAGAGATGCGGTTAGCCGAAAACCTCCTGAAGACGGAACCGAAGAAACCACAGGGACACGGAACCGAACCCAGGGAGGAGCAGAACCCAAGCCCAAATCGTACGCAGAGGGGGGAAAGAAAACCCCACTCCTCACAACAGTAAGCCCCGCTCAGAAGGACGGAAATCCAGGCGGGGCACAATGGAGCCCAAGGCCCCCAAGGCCGCTCCTCCCCAACCCCAGGAGCCTCTGCACCAGGCCCCGGGGCCGAGTCGACCTCCAAAGCCCCGGCCTCACAAGAAAAAGCCGGGGCAGCCGAGAGAGCTGAAAGAGAAGGGGCCCACTGGTCAGACCCCGGAGCATCGGCCGGAGGAACAGACTCGAATGCCTTCGCAGCTACCCCGGACGGGGCAACCCCCGAAACCGCCCAAGTCTCAGAACCTCTAACCCCGCCCCGACCCCGAAGCCTGCAGATGCGTAGGGGCCGGAAGCAGGAGGGGGAAAAACAAGGGGGGCGTGGAAGGAACCAAGGCCGAAGCGACCAAAACCCCCCAAGTCTGGGTCCCTACACAAGCGGGGCAGCATCGGGGCGTCCGGGGAAGCGACAAACCTGAGCGCGTTGCAACATCCTACCCTGCAACACGCGAGCTGCCTGCACCCACGGGAATTCATCGGTAGACTGGGTGAATGGAGTCACGAACAAGCAACAAAGCTCGCAGGACTCAAGGGTCGAATGTGTCACCGACCCTACAGGCAGCATGACGGAGGCAAAAACAAGGAGAGTCACCCTGAGACAAAGGGACAGAGCAACCCTCAACTCGCACAAAGCGAGAGGGGATGCAAGGGTCTCCACTACCGGACCCGAGAGCCCCCAGGGGGTTTCCCAAGGCCCCTAGACTGGGTCTGCTAAGGGTTATCCCAGGCAGGGCACTGCTAACCGGCGCCCCAAACTACCAAACAAGCTGCTAAAGCTGAACCCACGGGACGTGTCCACCCGTGAGGGCGAAGCAGGGGGTGCCACCACACAAACGAACCTAATATAAGGGGGGGGAACCCCCAAGGCAGACCCCCCTACCAGGCAAAAACTAATATAAAAGAAAAAGCCACACAAGTGGACAACGTACCCAGAGGGAACAGAGCCCCACCAGTGCTATAACTACCACTTACCCCAAGGTAAACAAGGGAGTGAAACCCCCAAACCCTCGGGGCGGCCAAACGCCAAGCAGCGAAAAGCCAACAGAGGTAGACCCAAGGTGACCTGTGGAAGGCATCCCCAAGCCCCAAGGGCAGTACTTACAGGGCACTCAGGGAAGGTTACCCTAAGCACATGCAGCCAGAGTACCTGAGAATACTACTCCCAGCTCACACGACCACCGTAAGAGCAGCACTGCAAACAAGTCACAGCACTGAAACAAGACTGGAGCTGGAGCCACACGACCGTGCATGATCCCATCAGCCGAGGAACTGGGGCGGGGATCGCCGGCGCGGGAGTCTGGGGCTCCCCCTTCCCCCTCCCGGGGAGGGGGGAGCTGCGCAGACATGCGGCGCGGCTCGCGTGACGTCACGCTTGTTAGTTCGTTTTCCTGGGGGAGTTCTGTCCACTCGTTTGTCGATTTTTGTTGTTAACCAGAATAGGGGTTTGTTTTGTGGCGCTTACCTTTCTGGGTGCCTGTCCCGGTCGATGGCAGATATAGAATGCTCCAAATCACATGTGCATTTCTATGGGCCATTGCACCCCGTGCCTCTCTGAGGGGGCCAGGTTCTGGCTCGTGGTCCCTGGTAGGCCTAGAACTCCACCCACATCGACTGATGCAAAATAGTTAGGGTATTCATATCAGCCATGGATAGCTCCGGGGAGCCGTAGGGGCTCCCCCCAGAAAGAAAATGGAGTCTGATTACAAGAGCCCTGAGGAAGCTAATGTGAACCCCGTGTAGCCGCGGGCCATTTGAATCGGGCTTGGCACCCTATGGCGTATATATACGCCATGCACACAGTGGGACATGTTACTCAGGGCGTATATATACGCCATGCGCAGTTTAAGGGTTAAAACATCTTGGAAAATTACAGAGACCATAAGATGGGATCGAGTCTGTACCCCTGGATTCTCCAGGCACAGATACTACTGACTGAACCATGGGTGTAGCAGTGCAAGTGCCTGGAGACTCCAGACATGCAAGTTGGATCTCATCGCATGACCTCAATATTGTCTTATAGATACAGTATATCACATTCTTGCGATATCATTGCCTGAAACGCCCTGCACATTGGTGGCTTTGCAAGAATCACTTAATCAATAATGTGTGTGTACTCACACCCATGTACCTTCTTGTATATACATATACAAATATAAATTAAAATATACATACAGTATATAAATAAATAAAAGCATCTCGACTCTTATCCTTTCTTCAAAACAATTAATACAGTATTTGTATACAGTACTTGTGTAGGCACTCAAGATTGCCAGTAATCACATCTGCTACTCCTTCAAAACTACAGATTACCTTCTATAATGATATTTATACACAGTTCAGCACCCCCTCTAACAAGACTGCAAGAACCCCATGGCCTTAGAGAAGAAAATAAAGAGCAAATCTTTGTCATTTGTCTCTGAATTTGAATGATTAATTTCTTCTAGCACCCCTTTTTATTTTTTTTAGTTTATTTAATTAGACGAGAAGGTTACATACTAAATGGCATATTATATACAAATATGACACAGATTACATATCGTAGATCTCCGGTTCTTCAGATCAGTTCTGTATTAAGATGATTGTGAAATGCAAACTTACACTGACAACCAAAATCAATATTTTACCTGAAGGGGTGCTTATAGTAGAGACCATAAATGGTATAGAGTGCTCCAATCCTCCACTTGAAACTGTGTGGAGGAACCAAGAACCTTTTGGTCAGCAATGCAACTTCTTCTGAAAACTCTAGCAGCTCTTTGAAGTTCTGACGACCCCTGTTGCAGAGACAAAATTTGTTATATAGAACTACATTACAACTATTCATATTGTAAATAAAAAATCAGCGTTGAATGTAATGAAAAGCCATTATCTGGGCGAGACCCGGAGGCTCCCCAGAGCTTACTAGGCTGATATGCTAATGTCAGACTTTGGCATCAGTCATGTGTATTGAGTTCTGTGGGCCTACCGGGGACCACGAGCCAGAACCTGGCGCCCTCAGAGAGGCATAGGGAGCAATGGCCAATAGAAATCCCCGTGTGGTTGGAAGCATTCTATGTCTGCCATCGACCAGGTCAGGCACCCAGAAAGGTAAGCATCCCAAAACAAACCCCTATTCTGGTGAAAATATTGCTACCAAGTGCCAAACATTGTGGATAGAACGCCCCCTAAAAGAAACGAGCAAATGAGCATGACATCACCTCCGGAAGGCAGCAGACTCATTCTTTTCCAGAAAAGAAAAAGACAGCTGAAGACACGACCAAAAGAGCAAAAACCCCTGCGCCGGAGAAGAGCATGAAGCTCCGCCACATGACCCCAAGAGGCTAATGCCAACAGAAAAAAAAGAGCCTTAGCAAAACAATCCTGAACCGAAGGGGCCACAACAAACCGAGGAGATGAAAAATAATGGCACCCAGTCCAAAGACCAGGATGGCTCAGGCGGCGCATGAGCAGGCCAGCGGTGAAACAACGCATGAGACAGTTTGCGAAATGGTGCAGAAGTAACATCAATACCGAAAGCAAGCTGCAGCGGCTCCGCCAGCGCCGCACGATACGAGGCGACAGTGTTAGGCATAAGATGATGGTCCTAGAACAACCAAGAGAGAAAGGACAACACCACCCGAACCGAAAGAGAACAGCAACGACGAAAGGACAAAAAGAACCAGAAGGAGCGCCAGGAAACCTCATACTACCACTCAGAGGAAGTCCGCAGGTGGGAAACCAGCAAGGAAGCCACCTGATGACCATAGAGATGGTGATAAACACGAGTCAAAAACACCAAACGCGAAGACTCGCGGAGAAGAGAGAACCAGTCTCGTACCGGACCAGGCCGATCTCCTGAAAGAGGCGGAGCCGCAGAAAAACCTCCGGGTTCAGACACCGGGCAAGCAGCGCCTGAAGCAACGGCGGGGCCGGCCACCATGGGGCCAAGAGGAATACTCGCACCTGGTAAGTCTCCAAGCAAGCCAGGACCTGGAGCAACAGCTGAACCGGGGGAAAGAGATACAGGAACCACCCACCTCGACCAGTCCTGCCGAAAGGTGTCGATCCCGACAGCCTCACAGTCGGGAAAGGCGCCACATAGACCGGAAGACGCCTCGACCACGCCGATGCGAAGAGGTCCACCTCCGGGAGCCAGAACGTCTGGCAGAGCCAACTGAAGGAGTCGCGGTCAACTTTCCGTGGACAGGGGAACGAACTGGGACAGGCCGTCCGCCAGGACATTGGACACCCCCCGGACATGAACCGCCAGGAGAGCCAAACCCCGAGAACTCAGCAGACAAGTCACCCGAAGCAACTAACCCCAAAGAGCCAAAGACCGCATCGAATCCCCCTTGGTTCAGGCAATGAACCATCAGGGTGCAGTCCGAATAGAGTCGATCGTCAATCCACAGGTGACCCGAACCCTCGGAAGTGCAAACCACACCGCCGCGAACTCCCGCACGCACCGTGCTGTAGATCTGACAGAAAGACGGATCCCACCACCCCTGGCCGGCCTGGTGAGCACTGGTCACGTAGCCTCAGCAGAGAGACGAAGCATCAGTGAACACATTGAGCGAGGGCTCGGGAAGGCGCCAAGGCACAGAACCCCGAAAAACATGAAGAGGAAGCCGGCGACGCAGCAGCCGACACAAGGTCCCTGGGGGACGGACATAGCGATCGCGAGAGAGGCAGAAGGGACGTCCCCGAAGGAACCAGAACAGCCAAAGAAGCCAAACCTGACCCGGTGGGTAGACCAACATCACAAAGTTCAGGTTCCCGCACAGACCCTCGAGCAACTGCAGGGTGACTCGGGAGCCCCCAGAAACAAGCACAGGCGAGACTGCAACCGTAGGAGAGACGCCAGAGGAAGAGTCAAGAGAGCGGTCCGAGAGTCCCACACAAGACCCAGCTAGGTCCGAACCTGGGAGGAAACCAGACGGGACTTCCTCCAGTTCACCAGGAACCCGAACCCGGCGAGCTGGGAAAGCACCAAATCCCTGGCGAGCAGACACGCGGACTGACTGGGAGCCCAAACCACCCAGTCGTCGAGGTAAGCCAACACCTAACAGACGCAGATGGGTCATGACAACCCGGGATTGTGTATACGGGTATAAGCCGTGGCACGCAAACAAAGGCAAAGAGCCGCAACCGGACACAAAACATGATGCACCCCCGGCCTGACCAACCAAGCATCAACAACCCAGAGACCCCTCCGGAAAGCAGCAGTCTCATTCTTCGCCAGAAAAGAAGGAGACGGCTGCAAACGAACAAAACCATCACGAAGACCGAAGGATCAGAAACCCCTGCGCCGGAGAAGAGCATGAAGCCCCCTATCTGACCCCCAGAGGCCAATGCCAACAGAAAAAGAGCCTTGGAGAAACAATTCTGAACCAAAGGGGCCACAACAAACCGAGGAGAAGAAAGAAGAGAGAGCACTCTGTCCAAAGACTAGGACGGCTCCGGTGGCGCATGAGCAGGCCGGAGGTGAAACAATGCACGAGACAGCTTTCGAAATGGTGCAGATGTAACATCAATACCGAAAGCAAGCTGAAGCGGCTTCGCCAGCGCCACACAATACGAGGCGACAGTGTTAGGCGTATGGTGACGGTCCTGGAACAACCAAGAGAGAAAGGACAATACTGTAACCCCGTGATTATCCGGGATTCAAACATCCGGAAAACGCCCTTATACGGCCAAAATCGTGATTGGATAAAGTTATCACAATATCCGGGCAAAATGGCCACAGGAACCAGATAAAAGCTGGTTTGGCCGGATGAAAATTTGGCCAAACAGATGGCCAGATAAATTAATACCATATTAATCCCGTCTGTGGCTCTAGACGCATGGTGGAGGAGGGGGTGGGGTGGGTGGGTGGTGTTTTGAGCGTCAGGAGGGACCACCTGGGTACAGGAATTACCATTAATTTTAGAACAATTAATCAAAGTCAAAACAAATGAAATAAGTACTAGTAATTATGTACTAACAAATAAATAAGTTTCCTAAAAGCAATGTGCACAGGCTGAAGTTTCCTTAAAAAATATTGAGTTTTTTCCTCCTGCAAGCGCCTTCAGCAAGTGAGGCGTTACAGGCAAGCCAAGCGCCTTCAGCAAGTGAAGCGTCACAGGCAAGCCAAGCGCCTTCAGCAAGTGAGGTGCCACAGGCAAGCCAAGCGCCTTCAGCAAGTGAGGCACCACAGGCAAGCAAGCGTCTTCAACAAGTGAGGCACAAGCAAGCGCCTTCAACAAGTGAGGCGTTACAGGCAAGCCAAGCGCCTTCAGCAAGTGAAGCGCCACAGGCAAGCCAAGCACCTTCAACAAGTGAGGCACAAGCAAGCGCCTTCAACAAGTGAGGCGTTACAGGCAAGCCAAGCACCTTCAGCAAGTAAGGCGCCACAGGCAACCCAAGCACCTTCAGCAAATGAGGCGCCACAGGCAAGCAAGCGCCTTCAACAAGCGTGACGTCACAGGCAAGCCAAGCGGCTTCAATAAGTGAGGCGCAAGCAAGCGCCTTTAACAAGTGAGGCATCACAGGCAAGCCAAGCGCCTTCAACAAGTGAGGCCTCACAGGCAACCCAAACGCCTTCAACCAGTGAGGCTTCAGCAGCTGGCAGTCAAAACTAACTTTGCATAATGAACTGTACAGTAATTTTAAGTGTTAATTTTAGTGTTGTGTTAGTATAGGTTATGTAAATTGTTAAGAATTCTTAACTTCAAGATGTGTGGCATCAATCAAGAAGATGAACACCAACAAGGTAAGTTGAGGTTTCTAGTTGAATATTTAATAATTATATGTGGCAAGGCAATTCAAATTATGTTGTTTGTAGAATAAAAATAGTTGGAAATGGTCACTTTTGGACTCGTAGGTGAAAAAGTACCATTACCCGAAAAATGTGATAATCCAGCTGGGGGTCCTTCCCATATAGTCCGGATGATCGAGTGGAGACAGTACCACCCAAACAGAAAAGGAAGTACAACAACAAAGACACAAGAAGAAATGGAAGGACCACCAGGAAATTTCATACTGCCGCCGAGATGAAGCCCGCAGGTGGGACACTTATCAAGAAAGCCACCTGACCATCATAGAGATGATGATAAACTCGAGTCAAAAATACAATACACTAAGACTCGAGGAGAAGATCAAACTAGCCACGTGACGTTCTGGTCCGATCAGCTGGAAGAGGCGGAGCCGCGGGAAAACCTCCGGATTCGGACACCGAGTTAGCAGCACCTGAAACCATGGCTGAGCCGGCCACCATGGAGCCAAGAGGACAACTCTCCCCTGGTAAGCCTCCAAGCAAGTCAGAACCTGGAGCAACAGCTGAACCGGGGGAAAGAGGTACAGGAACCCCCACCTCGACCAGTCCTGCCAAAAGGCATCGACCCCAATGGCCTGGCTGTCGGGAAAGGGCACCACATATTGGGAAAGGCACCGCAACCATGCCAACACAAAGAGGTCCACTTCAGGGCAACCGAATGTCTGGCAAAGCCAACTGAAGGAGTCAGCCAAGACGTTGGACACTCCATGCATACCTGGTTACCTGGTTGATGGGGTTCTGGGAGTTCTTCTACTCCCCAAGCCCGGCCCGAGGCCAGGCTTGACTTGTGAGAGTTTGGTCCACCAGGCTGTTGCTTGGAGCGGCCCGCAGGCCCACATACCCACCACAGCCCGGTTGGTCCGGCACTCCTTGGAGGAATAAATCTAGTTTCCTCTTGAATATGTCCACGGTTGTTCCGGCAATATTTCTTATGCTTGCTGGGAGGACGTTGAACAACCGCGGACCTCTTATGTTTATACA